TGCAAATTTCCCGAGCAAGTCCTTCCACCTCCCACCTGTTGTTCGCAGACGACAGTTTATTCTTCTGTAAGGCAGACGCGTCTCAAGGTCAAGAAATCATTAATATTCTCCTCATTTATGGCGAGGCTTCGGGACAACAGTTAAATACTGCTAAATCTTCGGTAATATTGGGCAGGATGTGGACAATGTAACCTAAAATACCGTTAAGACAACATTAGGAATCCATAAAGACGGGGGCATGGGAACGAACTTGGGTCTCCCTGAAAAAATACATGGCTCTAAGGTTCAGGTCTTTTCTTTTGTGAGAGATAGACTACAAAAGAGGCTTAATACTTGGTCAACAAAATTCTTGTCTAGAGGTGGTAAAGAAGTTCTTATAAAGTATTTTGCACATGCACTTCCGACATATGTTATGTCATGTTTTTACTCCCGAAGGCTATTCGCTCTAAACTAAGTAGTGCCATTGCTAATTTCTGATGGAAAACCAATAAAAATAGTAATGGTATCCATTGGATAGCATGGGATAAACTCTGCACCCCATATTCCGATGGAGGTCTTGGATTTAGAACACTTGAAGAATTTAATCTAGCTTTATTAGCTAAGCAATTGTGGCGCCTTATCAGATTCCCAAGCTCCCTCTTAAGTAAGGTTCTAAGGGGTCGTTATTTTTGCTTTAGTGACCACTTAGATATACGAACTTCTAATTAGCCTTCATACGGCTGGAGAAGCATTATGGCTGCCAAACTCCTCCTGGTCTCTGGACTTCGGAGAACCATCAGTTCCAGTATGCTTACCAAAGTTTGGGAAGATCCCTAGATTCCCACAATTCTGGCTAGACCCGCGAAGAGTATTCTTGCCATAAAAGATCTTCATCTCTATGGCAACGACCTAATCGACCAACCCACAAAGATGTGGAAAGTTGATCGCCTTCAAGCGTTGATCGATCCCGATGATATTCCACTCATTTTAGGGATTCGCACAAGTCGTACCTATTTGAGTGATTGTTTTAGCTAGGTCCATACCAAGTCCGGTAATTATACTGTTAAGTCAGGATACTGGGCCGCGCGAGATTTATCTCGTCCTACTTGTGACCCCCCTTTCCAGGGACCAGGTGTTTCGGCACTTCAGGCACAAGTATGGAAGCTTAAAACTACGCAGAAGCTTATGTATTTTGCGTGGCAATGTATCTTGGGATGTCTAGCCACGTGCCAAAGACTCTCTTACCGACATATTGGCACAGATAAAGGATGTCCTTGTTGCGGAGGGCCAGAAGAATCTATTAATCATCTTCTCTTTGTCTGCCCGCCCTCGCGACAGATTTGGGCTTTGTCACCTATCCCCTCTTCAGGGCACATTTTTCCTAGAAACTCCCTCTTCTATAATTTTGATTTTCTTCTCTGGCGTGGGAAAGAATTCGGAATAGAAGAGGAAGTTCTTGAACTTTTTCCATGGATATTATGGTATATATGGAAAAGTCAGAATAAATTTCTTTTTGAAAACTATAAAGAACCTCCCCATGAAACTTTAGCCTTGGCAATTCAAGAGGCGAAAGTTTGGAAACAAGCAAACGTGAAAGAAAGATCTTCTGAAGATTCTCCTCTCCTCCCGGTACCAGCTCAACCCTCGCCTCTTTTGACCTCGGAATGCCAGTTTGATGCTTCTTGGCATATGGATGACACTCTGAGCGGGTCAGGATTGGTTCTAGTTGGTCAAGACAAAATCTGTCATCTAGGGCTAAGAAATGCCCATAGAAGTTTGTCACCGCTCCACGCAGAATTTGACTCCTTGCTTTGGGTAATGGAGTGCATGAGCTCGATTGGCGATTCCAATTGTACTTTTGCTTCCGATTGTTCAGACTTGATTTCTATCCTTGATGCTCAAGATGATTGGCCAACCTTCGCAGCGGGATTAACCACTTTCCGGTCCCTTAGTTGTTTATTACCTTCGTTTAGTATTAGATTTATTCCTCGAAAGTTCAATACTCGGGCTGATATTCAGCTAAAAAAGTTCGGGCTTGAAATAGTCTTTTCTCCCATGTAAGCACATCGGAACCTGGTTAGCTCTCCCTAGCGGAGAATCTCTTTCCGATATCTTAATATAAATGGTGTTTGAGGAAAAAAAAAACAATAGATATATTATTAAAATAATGATAGTTGCATAAAAATACAATAAAAAACCGGATTTTGGTTGATGTTGTGTGTCATGATTTTTTCTCCACACTGCCTTAGTTTGGTTCAAAGGTGATGTGCTTAAGCATGTTTTTAATATGTGGGTTAGTCACTTAAAAAATAGACCACTCGTTAAAAACTGGTTTCGTGGGGATAAATTCAATCTGATGAATGTTGTCTATGCACCTTTGCAATGGAGTCTCGAAATCACCCCATGGAATATATGTATGTATAATACTAATGGCAAATTTTGTAAATAGTCTAATAAAATTTCGAGAATAACAAATGGTCGTTCATCATTGATACAAATAGAGGATGTCGAGTTCTGGAAGCTAATAGGGAAACCAGTTACTCTCAATGCATTCGAATGGTAATGGAGGATTACGGAATCGAGAATAGAGGCTGTGATGTTGTGTTGAGTTACAAGATTTCGAAGATGTTGTCTCAGAATTTACCGGATGATACACCACCCGTTTTTATTACTAATTCAAGACAGTTTCACTCTTTTTTGGGGCAATTGAAGAGCGATACAATTCGACTTTGTGATGAAGTGAAGAAGAAAGTTACAATTGAAGCTAATCAACCCAACAACAATGGCATCGTTGACAGTACCTTGCAGAGAAAACGAACAAGAATCGCAAACGAGTTGGTTAAGGAAGTTACAGATTTGATTCATGAAGCTATTGGCGATGACGACGATGATGATGAAGAAACGAGATTTGATTACTGTGACGACTCTGACGGAACAGATTCTGATGATGAGAATTATAGCTTGTATGGGATTCCACCAGTTGTAGAAGAAAAACAAATATTGTCGTTGAAGAAAAAGAGTTCAGGTATATATACTGAAGAACAAAAAGATGATGATTATTACGCAAAGTTTCAATTGCCTTCTGTGGATTTGGCTGTTGGACAGTGTTACGAATCAAAAGAACACTTGGAAACACGACTGAAGATACTAACCGTAGTACAGAGATTCGATTTCTACGTAGACAAATCGACACCTTTTCTATTGATTGTCAAGTGCTGGATAAAAGGGTGTACGTGGAGGGTACGAGCTACGACACAAAGAGACTACCTAAAGTTTCATATTCGTGTTTTTATTTCTGAACACTCATGTTCAGTAACAGAGCGTTCTGCACGTGCCCGTCAAGCAACTCATGATATTCTTGGAGTATTATACAATGATTTTGTTGGTGGAATTGGCCCCAAAGTATTGCCAATGCATGTTGCTGAATCATTGAACAAACGTTTTCAGATCAAGGTACAATACAAATTTTAATAATTTTTGGCATTTTAAAACATTACTTGGCGTTTTTAAATTTTAACAAACGTTTTTCTTAATAGATGGATTATTGGAAGGCTTATAGGACGCTGAGGTATGCGCGAGAATTGGTAAGAGGAAGTCCAGAGAGTGGTTATGAGCAACTACCTACTTACTTGTACATGTTAAGAAGGGCTAATCCGGGGACATTGACGAGACTTGAAGTTGATGAAGAAAAAAGATTTAAGTACATGTTTCTAGCCTTTGGTGCAAGCATGCTTGGATTTCCATTCATGAGGAAAGTGGTGGTTGTTGATGGTACTTTTCTACAGGGAAAATACAAAGGGACACTTCTTACAGCAACAGCTCAAGATGGTAATTTTCAGATTTTTCCGATTGCTTTTGCTGTGGTTGATACAGAAAATGATGAATTTTTCAAGCAACTGAGCTGTGTCATACCAGATGATGAGGGCCTAGCCATTATTTCAGATAGGCACAAATCAATTGCGAAAGCAATCAATGTGGTTTATCCGAAGGCGAGTAGAGGAATTTGTACATACCATCTATACAAAATTTATTGGTCCGTTTTAAAGGTAAAGAAACATTTGGATTGGTTAAGAAGGCTGCGAATGCATTCAGACAGGTAGATTTTCAAACCATATTCCATCAGATAGAAGTGGCAAATCATGAACTACATGCATATCTAGATAGGGCTGATGTGCGACTATCAGTTTACTACTCATTCTACAAAATTGTCCACTCGTCAAAGACTGTCTTATATATATATATATATATATTATTTTGATATATTAGAGATATGAATCAAATTTCAAGAATATACGTAGGATTGTTTTGATATTTTTTGCCAATATCTATTTATCAAAAGAGGAAAATTTAATTTTTAACTCATAATTATCACAAACGATTGGTTGGGAAAAAAAAAACGGAAAACAAAGCGAAAAAAAAAGAAAAAAAAAAAAGAAGACACACGTGACACGACCATTCTCCGTCTCCTTCTACGAAATCCCACGTTTTTCATTACGATCAATGGAGATTAATACACTTTCATCGAGTCTATATTCATTATTCGTGCATGATCCAATCAGATAATCCAAGGTAATTTTAAAGAACACCCTCTTTTATTAGCTTGAACTGTATGATGCAGGATAGCATCAATAATTCAATATGATGGTTTGAAGATTTGGCATGGACAAGATATTAATTAAGAGTCGTCTTTCCATCATGTCAGATTCGATCAAAAGGTGATGTTCTATCACTAAATTGTCGATTCTCTCTGGTTATATGCTATATTTTAGGTTTTCAAGTCCGGTATGTATATTAAAAAGTTTACATGCGATGAAGAACATGATGATGAGGTACGATGAACATCTTCTAAAGTGGTACGTAAATTACAATCGATCCATTTTTTTTTAGGTTTTCTTATTTTTTCGTGTTTACGAATATTATTAATTTTAAAAAATGTTACAATCGATCCATTTTTTTTAGGTTTTCTTATTTTTTCGTGAAAACGATGGAGGATATTTATATTAATAGTTGCACGCTTTAGGGCTTGGAATATCTCCGACGGTGAATACAACAACAAAAAAGTAAAAATTTCCAAGGGACCTTCGCGAATAAAACGAACACAAGCTTTGTCTACATAAACATCGACTCTTGATCCCTAGAAACACGTCAATGACTTCTCAACCCCAATGGAAAACAGATTAAAACATAGAGGTAACAATATTAGTCCAAATATGAATATTATAGTAGATACATACCGCAAACGATATGAATCCAAAATATACCGCTTAATCCATAGATGTATTAGTCAGACTTCCCGCATACATTGTCAAGACACAAGCTCCATCGAGGAAACCTCGATACCTACAAACAAACATGGAAGAGTTTAGATCATCAGAATGTAATAAACATACGCATACAATCATACGAAGCATAAAAAAAAAAAAAAATTATGAGAACAGGGGTTAGTTTGATCTGCAACTGAACACCATGCATGCTATTTATACTAAACGAAGAGACCCTTTTTATTTTATTTTTTTACGTTTATTATTTTGAGATGATAATGACGAAAGGAATATTAACATATTTTCCGTTAGAATATATACACACGATAATCCGTACTAACAAAACTACTATTTTCACAAAATCATGTATATTAAATTAATAGAATTTTTCCTGATTATACGATCAACTAAATGGAAATAAACTTAACAATCCAAGATCGACAATGATATTCGATATTATCATAATATTGATCATAGTATGAAAATATCAAAATTGACACATTCTTAAGATTTACCATATCTAACACAATCGAAATAGAAACGTGATATTTATCTTATTGTTTTCCATCATTATTATTGGCTAGTTGGAAATTTTTAAAAAGTCAATAATACTAATGTTTCACGAACGTCTTGGTTAATCGCCAATCGGTAAACCAATTTACGACAAAACCAAAAGGGGAGTCGAATATGACGATCGTACTCAGCCTCGTTCAAGCCGTTCACCATCGATTTCTAATTGATGTCATGCAATATTTTACAACAAAGAGAAAGGTGATATTCGTAAACCTAAATCACAATCTATATGCAACCTATATGTATCTATCCTCTTTTTTTTTTTCTTTCTTTTTGCTCTGGGTTAGGGTTTAATTCCAAGAACGACAATTATATTAGAGGAATCACCTCCACATGATAAAGTTCACAATGAACCAACATCAATCCGAACATGGTGGGTTCTCTACCAACGAACATAATATATTGTCTTGTATATTTTTTGTTTTCTTGTTATCTTGTTTTGATGTTAGATTCAAACGAGGAAGAACACGAGGACTAAACCCTAAAACTTTCTTCAATTCCGGTACGTTTGATTTCTTTTTTTTTTAAATTAAACAATTATTAGATATTTATTTTTTATGTTTCCTTAACGATACAAGGTTAGCATAGTAATTTTATATGATTATTGTTTGCCATTACGATTTTTACGTAAATTACCGCAATAATTAACTTTTAATTACGAAAATAAAATTAAATATCAACAAGAGCCGAGAGTCCGACACATCAGCAAAAACACTTCTCAAATATTGTTATTTATAGATAGAAAATATGTTTAATTCATATATTTCACATGAAAAATGTTAAGTTTTGTGAAATTTTTTCTAAACAAATACAAAAGTAGTCCTAAACAAAACACGGTAGAGAGACTATCCTAATGATTGCTATAACTGAAACTATCTAATAATGATTACACGGTTAAGAGACTAGAAGGCAAAACTTACAGCATTGACAATGTAGCTCAATCCTTTCTAGACTTTGCCTCCACTTTTTTTGTTTTGTGCTCTCTGCATATTACCAACATAATAAATTGAGAAGAAACAAAAAGAAATGCAAGACTTGTTCTAAGAAAATAGGATATTCAACCACATAATAATAGTATAGAAATACAAGAGAAAGAGGGGAAGAAAACTACTAGCATGAAAACTATTCACCAAAACATTAACCTTTGCAGATATTTAGTTCTCCTAGTTTGATAGTTCCAAGAGAATGGTTAGGAACTCATCTTTATATTTCTTCCTGCATATAGATTTCATATCAACAGATTAGTTCATTCAAAACTCTTACTTCTTTCATCTGCTTCGTTTTGAACCTCTGCTAGTTTTGTCATTCCATCCTCTGCTTCTATTTGATCATTAGCTAGTCACTGTATCATCCATGAACTTCATTTATAGACCTGTAACACACTATTATTAGCTAGCCTTACTGTATCATCAATGAACTTCACTTAAAGACACACCCTGATTCTCCACTCCTGATCAATTTGCCCATGATAATGTTCTTTATGAATCAAAAATCTGACCTATGTAAACTTAACACTAGAATCATATCGGTAGCGTCTTTCTTCTTACATTTCTGCAAATCTCTTTACCAAATTGATACACAACTATTATTCCTGATCGAAAATTTGACGAAAAACGTCTTCAATACTCGAAAATAGGTAGAGAGATCAGAGATTACAGAGATCTAATCGAACATCTAGCCAAATTTGAGTTTTTTTTCTCGAAAATCATAACCATAAGGTTTCTACGAATCAATAATATGCTAACTAAGCCTAAAATCATTGTAAAGCAAACCGCCATTTCACAAGAAAATCTACCGTACTAACCATCTCGACCGATTGTAGAAGATAGTGTCAGAGACTGAGAAAGCAAACCTCAGGATCGAATCGATTTGGAATTTTCAAATTTTGGATCTGAATCTCAACAGAGATGATCGATATGGAGAAGCAAATTTCCGAGAGGCTCGTATGAGTTCTGGGAATTTGAGTTTCAGAAAACGAAATCGTCAGAAATCGGCGTCGGATCAAAACTTTATCCTAGCTAAAAAATATGCGCTTATTAATATCTAATTTTAAAAATTAAAATCGGTTATCAAAGCGACGCAAAGTTCCTTCCAATTTAGAATTTTGGAGTCGGTTTAGCAAATGACTTAAAATTAGTGACGTCTCTTGACGTATTTGTTGTAGTGAATGTGATAGAGGGAGGGAAGGAGGGAGAGGGAGGGAAGGAGGGAGAGGGAGGGAGGGAGGGAGGGACATCACACTTCTTCCTATACTTCACTATGAGAAACATAATTATTAACAACAAACCAACAATTACACCACAACCAATTATTATCACAATTATGTTTACGCCATGATGTGTTGATCACATTATCGTATGTGTGATACGATTCGCAAAATTGAAGTATTCTCAAGGTTTTTATTTATACGTCATCTATGATTATATTAGTTTGATTGATTAGGTATCTTGAGGGGTGCTACTACACGTACATGTATCCAAATTTTATTTTTGCTGTCAAAGACAAAGGATATTAAAAAATATTAATGTTTTCGTTTTTTTTTTTTTCTTTGAACACTAAGTTTTTGTTTATTTTACACTATGAAATTATCAAATTTTTGTTTTTTCAATTCTTTTCTCATTAGAGTTTGCCTTGACGTAACATCTTTTCCGCGCATGGCGCGGATATCACCTAGTTCAACTTTAACTTGCTTGGTTTTCAATACAGTTTTTTTCGTGTAACTTTCACTTAAAAAATATTTAAAAAAAGAATAAGAGAATATAGTTTTTTTTTTTTTTGAGAATAAGAATATAGTTCACGCGGTCTATTTCTATAGAAAACCACAAGTTTCATACTTTCATATATTTTAGTTACTTTATATAGTGCTGACGTTATATAGATTGTTATAGTCTTATATATATATTATAAGATGTTTTATCATTTTTTGACAAAAAAAGAAGAAGATGTTTTATGTATAGGGTGGTACTTAGTTATGGTTGAACAAAAAGTGACAAAAATGAGCAAAACATAAGCAAAACATAAGAATGTATATAAAATAACAAATAATTGGCAATATGTGTTGAAATCAATAAACTTTAAGTTTCATGTTGACTCAAAATTTGTGATTACTTAAATAATTCTCGAAAGATCTATCAAGGAAAGATATAAGAATTCTATTTGATGTTTGTAATGTGTAATTACATACTATAACAAAGGAAATTAAATGTTTATGGAGATGCGGGTTGTATGAAGATTCCTCAATTGTTGATTCTTAGCCTTTGGTCTGCTTTTTTAGTCACACCGACTTTCGATCAAGTTAAACAGTTAAAGGGTTCAGTTACTAGGGAATGCCAATTCTGTGTCAACTAAATACAAGTGTGTTTCTCACGAGCAAATACTTTTAATCAAATCTAAACAACAAACACAAAGTTTAGATAAAATTATAAATAAAACAAAGGATTGAGATAAACAATAACTAGAGAAACATAACCACTTCTACTACTATTAATATTCATAAAGCTCACAAAACATAAAAACTGAAGAATTTATCCCCAAAAAAAACAAAAAAACAAACAACTATAGAAAAAGAAGAACAAGATCAACAAACCTAGCTATAGAGTATCAACGAAGTAGTTTGAAATCCAATTTTCGATTCCATTTATCCCAGCTAAGCCCAATCACATCATCCTTGTTGAGACCTTTTGCATTTTTGATGACGGTCCAACCGTTTCCCAAGTAGTAGCTATCGTTTCCTCCTCTTTTTATCGTTACCGAGTAAGGATGCTCACGGTTTACATCCTCCACGCTCACGTCCATGCCTATGATAAGATCATCCCCCATTTCCGCTTCCAGCTCGATTTTCGGTATGATAACCCGAGCCATATTGCTGACATCGAAATCCGTCAATGTCTTCCTTACGTTCCATGGATCAGGTTGACCTAAACCCAATTCTAGTTTGAGATATTGCTGAGCCATTCAACTTTTTTAATTTTTTTTTGAGAAACTCCAATAAGTGAAACATTCAATTATTATTATATGGGAGAAAGACAATGGGTCCCCCCAGGAAGTTGCATATAGTACCATACCAACCCAGATTTCGGGTCTCGTTGCAGGTCCACACGATTCGAAGTTAAACTGCAGTTTCCCCCTAAATTGAAAGTTCGAGACCTCAGTCTCCATAAATTCAAATTCCGTGGTTTATCATTGGTTTACTATGCCAAACCCGATGCCAAACCAAAACCCAGAATAATAAACCGATTTGTAACCAAACCAAACGGAATGTTATTGTTTAATAATATGATCTAAACCTTCTAATGGACTCGGAATGTTTCAACAATAACTAAAAAAAAAAATTAAAAAGAAATACACCTCCTTTCGTCTTCTTCCTTTTTCCCTTTCCAATGCCAGATTTTTTCTAAAAAAATAAAGAACAATAAACAAATGAATGAATTTGTAAAATCTTCTCCATGTGAATTGATGTTAATCAAACCCAGATTTCGAATTGATGTTAAATGTGAATTTTGCAAATTCAAATCAAACCCAAAATCAATTTTTTTCTTAATTAACATCAATTCACATGAGAAACAACTTTCAGATTTGGAATTGATGTTAAACTGAAATCAAATTTCACAAACAGTCTCAGTCTCAATTAAAATCAGTTCACATTTACCAATGAAAGCTCAAGTAGTTGGATCAATCAGTGCCGCTGATCACTCTCCCTAACAACACCGCAACAAATCCCAACCATTAGATCTCAAACACCATCACCAAAAAAACTTTCCTCCAATTACAGATCAAATCAAACGAACTCTTCGATTTGAGGCTTCAACAAGAGAGATATTCGAATCCATCAATTTGGGGATTTTTTGATTTTAGGGTTCTAAGGTTCAATTTGGGGATTATCGGGTTTAATGGGTCTAATAATCGGGTTGGTTTCTGGATAAATCCGGTTTAATCTCTATGTTAAGCGGTTAATAGTGTTTCCGGCACAGTAAACCAATGATAAACCACGAAATTTGAATTTATGGAAACTGAGGTCTCGAACTTTCAATTTAGGGAGAAACTGGAGTTTAACTTTCGTTTTGTGTGGACTGGAGACGAGACCCGAAATCTGTGTTGTTATAGTACTATATGAAACTTCGTGGGGGGACACATGTCGTTCTCCCTTATTATATATATTTTAAAGTGTAGAGGTTTCTCACACGGTCACCTAACAAATTTCAACCGCGTGAAACTTTCACGTACGTATTTTAATTACTCTCTATAGTGCTGAGTTTGCATAAAGTATGAGGCTAAGAATAAGAATATAATTCACGTGGTCCACTTCACTAGAAAATTACAAATAAACAAAGCTAATTATAAAGGTTAAAGTTAAACAGTCGTTAATATGCATGGCAATCATTTTTATAAAGATATATAGATACATGTTGAACATGATTATTAGAATGTAGAGGGATATGTAATCAAGAGAAAGATGAATCAAAATTTTAAATAGTTATTTTAGGTTTGAGTTTTATAATCATTGTTATTTTGATGTTCAGAGCAAAAACGATGATTAGTTAAAATTGAAGTATGTTTCAAAGTTTGTTGGAGATAACTTTGGAGAATTAGACGTGTATCTTGCGGATCATCGAATTCCGTCTATGTAGTGAAATCGTGAAACCTACAAGAAAATTCTCTAGACCTTGATGTTATTTTAAACATATTTTCATTATTACGTTATTTATTTATGTGTTAGAGTTTAAACTTGGATTGGGAAAATGTGTAGGACCAAAATTTTTTTGGGTAAATTTAAGAACCCAAATTATTTTTTAGTAAGAAAAAAGTAATTTGTAAGACTTTAATATATTTTTAGTATGAAAAAAGCCTACATCCCACGCCAGTGAATCGAAAGTTTGATGGCTTTACACAGAGCTTATAGAAAGAGCTTAATGTACAAAAGGCTTGCACATATAGTTTGCTAAACCGCACAGAAAAACCGAAAATACAAATTACTTAACCGAACGAATGAACCAAAATCGGTAAAGCCAGATGGATAATAGTGTTTCCTGTCAATAATTTTATAAAATTCGTCTGTTTCTTATTCGAGATTTTGAAACATCTTTATTTAATAGTGAGCTTTATTTAATAGACAAACAATAAACGAAAGAATAAGAAAAAGCAATATTCTTTCGTTTATGGGATTATTGTTTAAAATGTCATTTTTTGGGAAAAACTTATGAAAATGCCCTTTTTTGAATAGTTTACGGATTTTGCCCTTTTTTAACACTTAAAAATGTACGTATTTAGGATTTTTTTTTCCAAAAATACGTACTTTATACCAAATACTAAACCCTAAGAACAAATGGAACTGACTAAACCCAAACATAACGAGTGAAACGCATGTTAAATCATATTTTTGGAGCATGAAAAAGGGCAAAATCCGTAAACTATTCAAAAAAGGGCAAAATCCACAAATGCCCTTATGAAAAAGGACAAAATCCGTAATTTATTCTTCGTTTATCGTTATTTTTGTCTTTCCTTCTTTTAATAGTGAGCTTCTGACGTATTTAATTATTTATTGGTGATTCTCTATTGGTTTTTCAGTCATCTGTATTTTTATTATTTCTTTTCTTTTTTTTTGTTTCTTATGTGAAATCTCAACACAATCTTCCTCTATTTACAGTATCTACAGATGAAAGCAAACAACATCTTGCCATTATTTGCAGCTATCACGCTGCAGATTGCATTATCATTCATGGTAATGCTGGCTGAGTTCTCAATGAACTTCAAGCTGAAAGCGAACAACATCTTGCCATTTTTTTTTCTTTTTTGTTCAAAGTATTCTGCCCTTTATTAAAGTTAATTTAACTTTAACAAAAATTACCAATTTACACAGTTGGGTTTCGACCATGAGACGTCAAATAATGACATTTACAATCCCTCAGGCACTATACCAAACCGTCCTTTTCTATATTTACTGTTACTACATGTAAATATGTAATAGACAAACCAAAAAAACCTACTAGATAAAAGCCCTGAAACAATAATTCCCCATATAATTGTCCGATTTTGAACATGGATTAATATTAGTTGTTCAGTACTTCAGTCATGTAAATTTGAAAAAAAAAATATTTGTATTTTTTTTTTGTGAAATCTCAACTGTTACTTACAATTACAACAAATATTAGGTTTGATATTGAGGAAATCAATTAAATATTTCTCCTCTTCCGTTCATTTTTGATATATTTCTTATTTATGTTTTAATATATATATATGAGTGTTGTAGCTTTTTATTGGGAAGTTTGCAAACACATCCTCCATATATCCATTTTTGCGAGACTAGCCTCTTTCAAATTAAAATGTTGAACAACTTTCAACTTTTAACCCAACTACAAAACATGTAATACACTCTCCATCTCTCCGAGTATATTAATGACACGTTTAGCTAACCCCAAAGCAGTGATTCTTAATAACTAAAACGACCACTCGTTTGTAGAGAAATGAAATTGGGGGATATCTTCGGGAATTCTAAACTAAATCATATCTATAGTCTCTCAGTCTCTGGTTCAGCCTTGACAGATGATTCATTTCATTTTCTCTAAACATTTGATGTGTTTGTAGTATCTACGATGAATGCGAACATCTTGCCGTTATTTGCAGCTATCACGCTGCAGATTTCATTAAGCTTATAAACCTATAGTCTTATAGATATAATTTTCTTTTGTCATCTATAGTCTTATAGATATATTATAAGATGTTTTATCACTTTTTGACACACAAAAAAAAAGAAGATGTTTTGTGTATAGGGTACTTAATTATAGTTGATAAAAAACTGACAAAAATAAGCAAAACATAAGAATGTATATAAAATAACAAACAATTGGCAATATGTGTTCAAAATAAGTTTCATGTTGAATTGATGTGGTCGATGAATGTTTTATCAAAAAAAGGTTTCATGTTGTAAACCATGACTTTATATTCCTAAATGAAACACATACAAATATTCCCTTATCAGAAAACATATACAAATATTAACATACATTTTCTACAACATTTTTGCTGGAGTCCGAATTAGTTTCCCTTATTAGGATTGGAAACTTTACTCGTAGAATATATACATAATTTTTTTTAGGTTATCATATTTACATACATGAATATCAATAAATTTGTTTCAAATAATATTTTCTTGTTTTGAGTGATCTTTTTACGAAATATTCTAATTAGCGGATAAAGACCGAAAACTTATGAAAAAAGAAACACAAACCAAACAGAGAACCGCAAAGCATTTGATTGTTTAATTAGTACATTTTTAAAGTTTATGAAATACTCATTTGATTGTTTGCTATTGTGTAGTAGGCGTGGCCGTTATTAAAGGCCACAAAATAGCCCAAAAATTAGTTTCATGAAAAGTCCATTAAACCATGAGATTAGGTTTTGTAGTAAGAACTCTCATATATATATATATATATATATATATATATGTGTGATGTAAGAAGTCATGAATTAATGGGCTTCTCATGAGGCTAATAGCTTCTTTGTAGCTTCTAATAGCCGTTAGCCGTAACAACTTTTTCCCGAGTTTAACAATATCAGACACATGCATTTTTTTTTCCATCACTTTTATTTTGTATAACGATCCCAGATTTGAACCATAAATTTGCATTTCCTGCTCGATTTTTTTTCCTAACATAGATCATGTTGTTGCCTCTTCGATCGTTATATTTTTCTTCACATAAAATTTTGTAGGATTTGAAAAGTTATACTCCCTCTGTTTTAGTTTAGTTGTCGTTTTAGGATTTAAATTTTGTTTCATAATAGTTGTCGTTTTAGGTTTTCAATGCAAAATGTTTTGTAAAAATTCCAGTTTTATCCCTATTGTTTTAATGTTTTGACCAATGAAATTTTTTATAAAATGTCTTAATAAAGGGTAAAACATAACATTTAATGGTTTTCTTAATTTGTGTGAGAAAACCTTAAACGACAACTAAAACGAA